ATCTAAGGTATATCATAAAATATAAGAACAATACATACTATATAGCCTTAGTCAACAAACTAATGCGAAGTTCGAAGCTGGAATGTAATTCTTATTTCAAAACCGACTTTCCTGAGTACACGTATTTGCTAAGCCACTGACCGTTGTGAGGCATGTGACTGGGTATTATAAATTATAACGACCAATGGTGCCCCCAAAGGATTGCTGTCATGGTATCGAAAATCCTTCATTGGCCGTTAAAATAATTTTGACGGTAGAAATCATTTAATCACGGTATCGATATGTTGTTTTTTTTTTGCTCGGGGATGTCTTGAGGCCAACAATTTTCTTTTGATGATCATCTTATCATTCATTATACGGCGTATAAAAAAATCATTTCTTAACAACATCACTTCATATATCACATGTTAACATAAAAAATCACACTGTATAATAAGAGATTTTTTATATTATTAAGTAAAAAGTTTTGTTTTTCACATTCGAATTAGTTATTAATTTACGGGAAAAAACGCATATGATCAATATTTTAAACACATAATCTCATAATTCATGATATTTAATAAATAAATAATAGATGTAAAGATTATAGAAAAATTCATTTTTGTTCAAAATCATATACTGTATATATACTGTTGTAATATTATTTTCTTGTTATAAAAATTTTTTTAAAACAAAAAAATCAATTAATTATAAGAATTATAAAACGTATATACGGTATATGAAATGATTACTTAAATTGAAAATTTAATAATAATAATTTAATTTGTTTTTTTTCTAAAAAAAAAAAATCTAATAAAAAAAATTACATCTTATATAGCTTAAAAATTAATTAAATTGAAAATAAAAATTAATTGAATTGTAAATAAAAAAATAAAATAATAAAATAATTGATAACAATTTTTTGATAAAAAATATAAATGTATATTTATAAAATAATAATAGATTTTGCATAAAATAAATTTATTGTTAAAAATATAATAAAGTAATAATTCTAATTACACAATAATGTTAAATAATAACAAAGTTTTTAATATTACCAGCATATAGAAAAAATAAATTAATATAAAATTTTGGTTTTAAGTTATAAAATAAAACTATTCTTATTTTTATATTGTCATAAATAATGAAAGAAAAAAGATGGGTTTTTTATAACCTTTCCTCAAAAAAGTAATTCACAACTTCGCATTTTTCCATTTCGGTGTCTTTTTTTCATGAAAGGCGTATAGGCCCTTTTTAATATTTTCACCTTCTAACCATGCTCTTACTTCCTTAGAATCTAAATGCCTTTGGTCGGCCTCTGTTAATGATGTAGAATTGAGAGATAGTAAGATGGCTAACTTGGAAGCTTGCACTGCATCTGGCGAGTTGCGAGCGATCCTTGTGGCGTATTTCAAAGCAGTTGGAATTACTAACTATAGGGATATAGAATTTGTGAGTCAAAATTCGGAATTTGTACAACACCAAAAATTCGAGGTAACGTATTGTACGAACTAAAGCATATTATTTCAAGGTAATAACGGCAAGCCTAACTTACTTTTGAACTCGAGACAATTTCATTTACAATTCCCAATTCTTTGCATTCTTTTGCTGAAATATTTCGACCCGTCATAATGATTTCGCAAGCTCTTTGATATCCTTTGTTTGACAACGAGGTTTGTCAGAATGCGGAAACGCGGAAACGTGGAAACGCAGAAAGATTATTAACACTTACCAATAAATCTTACCAATCTTGTTAATCCACCGCCCATTGCGACCAAGCCGCGTTTTACTTCCTTAAAAGTTTTTCCATTAGTGTTTACTACACTAATTATGCGTATAATGCCATATTTAAATTTACCGGTAGTCCAAAAATCGAATTTTCATGCGCGACAACAATATCACACGCTAAAACCATTTCCATGCCACCGCCTATAAATTAAATTTTTTATCAATATCGAATCTATTCCTAGAAAATACAAGGTAAACTGAACTCACCCATAGCAAAACCGTTGACTGCAGCAATAATAGGTTTTAAATTATCTGTCCGGCGGCCCAAACCACCAAAACCTTTTGGCGGAAATTGAGAGACTTGAGGTAGGTTCTCCGCATCTAGACTTTTAATATCTAGTCCCGCACAAAACGCCTTTTCACCTGCCCCTGTGATCTTATTTCATTTAAAATATTATTCATTTAAACGCACAAATTGCCCAGCAACATCAGAAGGCGTATGCATAAATTCAATTTACAATGGCTGCTCGTAGCTCTGGTTCGGAATTATACCAGTTGAAAACTTCTTCGAGCTCATGTTGTGCGGAAAAATCGAGCACATTAAGAGTATCAGGGCGATTAATGGTTATAAGAATAATGTGAGGCGCCGGAAATGAGAGTAGGAAGGTTTTAGTTGAAGGCGGTGAATTTTTGAAACTTGATAAACTCATTTCAGAAAAAAAGTTGTACGATCGATCGGTCTTAAATCACAATATATATAATGTTTCAGTAAGATAACAATCACAAGTACACGTCATAAGAGATCCATTTTCGCGTTTTCGAATCTCTCACAAAATATGACTTTGGCACGTACTCAATGTATGGCCAGGCTAGTATTCATTCTTTCTGTAGTCTTCGTGTTCGTCTACTTTCTCCTTCCACCATCACCCGAAGAACGTTTACGCATCGAACAAGCCCTACGAGAGAAAAAAATCAAAAAATTCTTACATAACGAAAGATTTGCGCAGCATGATATGATGGTCTCGGATAGACGTCAAAGGGAGGAACAAGAGGCTATCAACATTACGAAGAAGATAATTAAAGAACGACTGAGATTTCATTTTCACGATAGTATTCCGGGATCAAGTATCAGATACGATGTGATGAGGTTGAACAGGTTCAGGCGACAATTGGAGTGTATGACCAGTCGAGGAAGCTGGGTGTTAGATCACACCCCTAGGTCGATTATCCAACATAAGCAAGATCCGTTGTATGGAAAATGTGATCGGCCATTTAGTATATCCAATAATTCTACAATGGAAGAAAAATGGAATTATGCCAGGGAATCGATTAAATATGTCTGGAAAACCCCGGCAGAATGCCCGATGCCAAAATTCAATGTTAAACAAGCCTGCTCGATTTTTTCTGGAAAATGGTTTTTATTGGTTGGTGATACTTTGCATTTCCAGTTACATGAACTTCTACTGGACTATTTTAGCGATGAGTCGGTACAATGTTATGGTGAAATTTCATGTAGGGAACATGTACTTTGTAAAGTTGATCCCAATGATCCAGCTCACAATGCCAAGGTATCAAAGATGAGGTTTACCAGAAATGATATAATATCTCTGACAATGAATGCTAAATATGCTGGTGGGAATGTCGAATTACCATGGACGGCTCACGCACATCATTTTAATGTATTGATCATGAACAGGGGACATCATTGGCAAGATGATGTGACCTTTCGCCGTGGTCTAATTAATGTCATGAATTATCTGAGAAAAAAATTTTCCAATACTCTGATAATCTATAAGGCAACAACTTTGGGTCATTTGAATTGTCAAACAGCCGAGAGGCCCTTGTCCTCACGTCCTAATGCAACCGAAATGGAATCTTTGCCATATCATTGGAGCGAAATTCATCGGCAGAATTTGATCGCAAGAGAAATTGTTGAGACCGCTGGTGGTGTATTTTTGGATCTAGAATCGGTCATGATGACAAGAGTGGATGATCACATTGGAGGTCGAGACTGTTTAAGGTGGTGTATTCCTGGTCCCACGGATGTTTGGCTGGATTTTTTATTTCACATAATGAAAGAATTAAGATGAAGATTCAAAAACAGTAAAAGATAGAATATACCATTGCATCCTGGAGATAAACAAATTTTTTTAATTTAAAAAAAAAAAGATCCAGAATAATTGTGTATATATGTTACATAGTTATGAAGGAAATGAAATGAAAGCGTCAATAGACTTAATTTTTATTTCACTTGTCAGCTATCGCATTCGAGATTTTTGGTTTTTTTTCGCGTCGAGCATACTCTAGATTTTCATCTCATTAAAAATAATTACGCTCATCATCAAAGTTCAATAAATACTAAATTTACCGCATTTCAAAATCTTTTTTGGAAGCATCCATTTTTGAATATGCATAAAGTGAAATGTTATGTACGATGCACCTATGCTACTCGGCTTCGCTAATAACATATTATCTCGCCGGGTGGTTTTTTTTTTATATAAAGGTGAGGTGTTAAAACATAAGCCTTGACCACTAACATCTCAATCACGATCAATTTCATCATTACATTTTTCAATCACCAATTTAATCTTCTGTGTCAACTCTTCTTCGGGATTGTCGCGTGGAACCATAAATGTATTGAAGCAAGTTCGTCCTTGTGGATACGAATTTTTCTCTCTCGTGGAGATCTTGAATTCCAGTGCTTGAAATCCTCCAATTGGCAGTTTCGGACTACCGGTGACGAATCTCAAGAATCGTTTTTTATCTTCGCTATCAAATTTTGACATGATCTGAATAACTTTATCAACTTCGTTGGCACTCGAAGCATCCAAGAGCTTGACATGTTTGCGCACGGTCTCGATGCTCCAATCCTCATCCACCTGAAACAGAATCAATTGAGCAAACTCTATCGATGAGTATTCACGCAAAGATTCGAAGGAAAACACTCGATTAAATCCATCCTTGAAAGCTTCAATTTGTCTATGAACACCACGATCAAAAATCCAATCCTTACAAGCTAAAATGTACTCATTTATGTTTTGACCCGTCACAAATTGAATATCACTTCCATGTTCAATCTCAGATTTGGTTGGGCGACCGACAGGAATATCATACGGTATGCATGAATTACCAACAAGTTCCGGATTCGCGTACAGATTTTGCAGGGTCTTTCCAAAGGACGGGTAAACCGATTGAATCGCTTCAACCATTGCTGATAAATCGTGGTTATCGGTATTAAGGCTCTTATACACATAGTTTGGGTGCAATAAAAGGTCCACAAAGATTTTGTTGAAGGGCAAATCTACCACTCGACCGTCTACGATAGCCTTCGCCACAAACTGACCCAAAAGTCGGAAGTTGAGTAAAATTTCCTTTCCCTCTTCATTCTCCGCCATCTTTTCATCCATCAGTGCTGGATACAGTCCGTTAATATTCTTTATCCATATGTCTTCCGATCCTGCCTCTGAATCATGTAACCACATTTTTCTGGAAACCTGAGAGAACTCGAGAGACATGACCGCATAAAATTCACGTGCCACACCTTCGCCGACGCCACGTTCCCCGGTGAAGGTGACCTTGAGAATTGACTCGGTGGTTGCGAATTGCGGAAAGTTCTTGCAAAACCATCTAAACAAATCCGGTTTTGACAAACCCGATACCCGTTTTTGCTCGGGTACCACGGGACTAATCAATCGCTTTTCTTCATCGCTCAAGTCAAATTTCTTGAAGTCGCGTAATCCAAATGTCTTTGCCAAGAAGAATTCATGTCTCCTCTTGGCGCTCATCAAAAACCGATAGCGCGTGCAAATTTTGAGATGAAAATCGGGAAAAGTCTTTGTCAAAACTGATAACGGATCTCTAAGGAGGGGTACAATCAGCTTGTCAACGGCCTGACAAAGGAACAACCTTGGATCATACTTGCTAGCAGAAACTGTTTCCTCGTACAGTAAATGCAATCGATCCATGAATTTTAGGATATCCTTGGCTGCATCCGCAATCTCCAACTCATCAGAAGTGTTTTGAGCCTGGGATGGAAGAGTTGTGGATTTCACCTTTTTGAATTGTACTTCGTACTCACTACTCAAGAACTCACCGTTCCAGAACTCCGGAGTTAATCTTTCCTGTTGTTTTCTAAGTAAGTGTCTGTATATCGCAGAATAAATTGTAAATTCTGAATTCAAACATTCGCCATCCATATAAAATTCCATATGCCAATCAGGTTGCGCTGATGATGATGCGTGGGTGGTGTTCTCTAATTCTTCTTCGCTCTCAGACTCATCGTCATCCTCGGAATCATCATCAGACCCATTATCATCATTGTGCGTCGGAGTTATAAGACCAGGTTGTGCGTCGTCATCGTCTTCAAATTCATCTTCATCCTCGAATTCATCTTCGACCTCAAATTCGTCCTCGATTTCGGATCTTTGATGATGAGATGATAAAGAGGATGCATCCGATTCTTCATTTTCACCATCGGATTCATTTTCTTGATCTACCTGCTCAACTGCCCCGATATTATCTATGTTAGTGGGACCCGTGGAACTAATCTGGGGGTTGACAGAAGACGACTGAAATGACACTATTGATTCACCTTCTTCTGATGCGGATTCATTTCCTTCGCTACCATATTCATTCGCACCGTTATTATTGCGACTCTCTTGGTTTTGTGAAACGGATGTGGATTGAGCGAGACGACGTTGAATCAACGAAATCGATGAATTTTCCGATCCATCTTCGACATCAGACTCACGCTCTTCGTCAACTATATGTTCACCGGTAGGGGGGGGGTAAATTCGTTGCATTAGAAGTCACATTTTCACCGGTGTCCTCCCTATTCTCACTTTGCATCGATGTGAGAACTGTTGAGAGACGAATACGCTGAGGAGGTCCACCGATCTCAGTGCGATGTGGCATATCAGCAAACAAATCTGGTTCATCGATGAACAAATCAGAGGAACTAATAAATATCTGTCTCCTTGCCAGCGACGAAATATGACTTTCGAAAGAAGTGGAAATATCACGACGACGATCCGTACCAGGATTGCGAGATTCGGTGCGATTAATTAATCGCTCTAGTCTCGTCACGAACTCATTAAAACATGTGTAAGGTTTGACCTTTTCTACAAACTTTTCATTGGAATCCATTGAAACAAATTTAATTCTCAATTTATGTTCGATTATTGGTTTTAAATGATCTTTTGTTGGTCGTGGTGCTTCCGGATATATCACATGATTCTCGAGTTCTTCCACAACGGATTCTATCAATTTTCCGAACGGTGATCTTTTTGGATCATCATCACTGATCACTAAGGGCTTAATGAAGACATTTACAAAGATAGCTCGTTTGGAATCATCGGTGAGGGATGCGGACAACTTGTTGAGCAAGTCATAATTGACCAATCGATGATAGGTCACTTCCTTAGAATTACTTTTTAATAGGTTTTCTAATTCTCGGATTTGACTGTTATAATCATTTTCAAGATTCTCAGAAATACATTTTAATATTTCTAGTAATGTCGATTGTTCCGTAGAAGCTTTCTTATTTTTTGCAAACAGAATTTTACGACTGGATTTATCATGCAAATGTTTTTGTTTCATTGAACCTTGATCTGGTAAAGGGAACAAGGTATTACCGGTTTCAGTTGAAAAGGTGGCAGGATCGATAACCTGAGCCGATGGCCTCTGGTGATGATTTTGATGTCTTTGAATTGTGGGCTCACTGGATAAACCATGAGAAAGAGCTTGAGTCGCCTGTCTGAAGTTGATCTCGCTTATATGCCGTGAAGCGGTGACTTGCAGCGGTGGTCTTATTATAGGATTTTGAACTCTAGGTATGCTTGGTATGTTTGGTAGAGGTGGTCTTGGATTGTTGATTTCCCCCGACTGTTGTCGTTGGACTATATTAGTATGGCGCCGGGATGGATCAATCTGACTTGGTTGCCTTATAGAAATGTTTTGTCGCGTTTGCCTAGCCGAGTTGCTCGGTCTGGGATGATTAGTTGAGGACATTTGCGCTGAACGAAGAACTAGAGAAATCGGAGGTAGAATAGAAAGTTAAAAAAGAAAAAAACGGAAATTATATAATTGTAGGAAGAGCCGACTACTATCCGACTAGTAGACCTCTCCTTGAAATAAGGTGTACGGATATAAATATGCTACGATGAAAGCGTGTTTTTAGTTAGAGTCTAAAAATTTTTTTCTTAAAGGTTCTACGTATGTACTATTTATGAATGGAAAAATTGTGACGTAGACGTTAGATTGTCGTGTAACTGTATTCCGATTACGTACGCACGCTGCGCATCTTCTGAAGTTCTGTGTAACAACTAATATTGTACGACTCGCTTTTTTTTTTTTTTTTTAAGTACGTGCGCATGTACTGCAATTATTCACATGCCCAGTTCGAACAATAGATGTCATTTAAGAGTTTCTAGGATTCGCGTGCAAGATCAAATCTTGTTTATTGAATTACGCGCAAACAAATATTATACAAACTACAACACTATGTTAATTTAATTTAAATTATGAATCTCGTACCTTTTACCGTATATTTTTTAAAGTTGTTCAAACACTATTTTGTACAATGCACGTAAATGGACTTCAGATTTACATTCTAAAATCCCAATTTATTCATTATCAATGTGCTTTAATGCTAATCTATAAATTTCCATTGAAAATAATTTGTATTAAAACTAAAAAAAATAAAATAAATTATATAGTATATACAGTATATATACAATAATTACTTGGTAACATGTCTAACCAGGCTTCCGGTAAAGTCCGGGATGCCGGAAATCCAATTTTATTAAATAAAATAAAATGCATTGTGCATACTGTATATAATTTATAATAAAGAAACATCATTTATTTATTTATTTTATAATATACTTGATAATTATTAAATTTAAATTGATAAAACGTATAATATAAAAACAAAAATAATTATACAAATAATATTGAAAACTTTTTTCAAGAAACTTGATATTTATTATAATTTGAATTTTTAATATAATTTAAAAATAACAATAACTATTTTTTATTTTATTTTATTATATAATTAGATAATTAATTAATTAAAATATTATTTATTTAATTTATTTTTATTTCTATATCTATTGGTTTTTAAATTTATTATTATTATCTTATTATTATTATTATTATTTTATTAGTTTTTTAAATATTTATTAGTTTTAAAATTTTTATTTTATATTTATATTTTTAATATGCAATATTTTATTTTAAAATGTTTGTTTTATATTTATATTTTTGATATATTTTATTTTCAAATTTTTAATACATATATTTTTTATTTTTTTAAAATTTATATTTATTAAATATTTAAAGTAAAAATATTTATAATTATTGATAAAAATTATTTTAGTTTTTTTAATATTATTAAGAAATCAAAGATTTATTCTTAAAATATTTATAATTATTATTTTATTTTAAATAAAAATATATAAAAAAAACTTTCACCTGTTCATTACTGATTTCTTGAAAATTTTCTTATATGGTAATTTTCTTGAAAGAAGCACTTTCCTCTCTTTCTTCAATATGCTAACTATGCCATAAACTCAAAAACATAAGAACTTTAAAAACCACTATTGCATCAGGATAGGACCTCTGATCAAAGGCCAAACAAGTTTGGGAGTCTTGTTTATTCTTTGATTGTATGAAAAAAGATCCGTAACAGTCCTCTTTCTTAACTTTGTCTTTATACACCTTCTCCTTTATTACTTTTATAATAATTATTCTCCTCACCATCCTCAAAATCGCCAATTTTTTCTTAAAAGTACATTCAAGTAAAGTTTTGGGTTCTCTTATTTGTCTTAACCAAACTTTTTCAAACAACAATATGGTATACTTTATTATGTCACCTCAATGACTTCAAAAATTTTCTCAAAATTAAAAACCAAAACCAGCTCAATCCCTTCAAATGATCCATACAATCTTAACAATCAATCCAATTCTGACACTCCAACTTAATAAGAACCAAATCAATATTAACTTGTTAGGAATGACAACAATAACAACATCATACAAAAATGTAACAAAAACTTATTAAATCAAGATCAAATTCCTGAAAATCTTCTATATTACTAAAAAAAATATTCCCACTCATCCTAACTTAGCTGTTTATGGATAGGCATAAGTCATTTATAGATCATTTTTGATATGGCACCACTTACTTACTGTAATATAGTATTAAAAGTTATATATGCAATAGGCTAGCATTAATTTAAATAGATGTTTAATATAATAACAGTACTATTATTTAGTAAATAAAGTCTTGCATTTTATGCTTATTTGCAGTAAAAAAAAAAGTTAAAATATAACATATATAGTTTCAAAAATTAAAATTGAACAAATTTATATATAGATTTATATAAGATTTAAATATTATTAAAAATAATAGTGAATTATAATTCATATATTAAATTTAATATAAATTTAAAAATTGAGAATTAAATAAAATCATTAAAATCTTAAATAATATATATATAATTTTTATTAATTATTATTAAAAATTATATTTTTTATTATATAAATAATTTAATTTAATTGATATTATTTATTTTTATAATACTTAATTATATTAACTTCTATTTAAAAAATATAATTATATAACAAATAAAAAATTTTTTAAAGAAATAAAAATCTTATTGTTAATAATAAAAAAACTCTTTTTGTTGTGCCCTGCTTGATCAAAATGATCCTTAGATTTGGCAGCCTATGCCAACTGGTCCGAATCTGAAGTATCTACTAGGAGTTTAAGAATCGATTTCATAAGTGGCAGTGAATCCACATTTATGGAAAAAGATCTTTAAGGAGTCACATCTTACTTGGCCAAAATGATCTCTAGATTTGATAGTGTCCAACTAGTGGTCAAAACTGAAGCATTCACTAGGGAGTATATGCTTATATCAAAGGTTCTCCTCTGCTCATGTGATGGATTGAGAGAGGTGTGATGTGAAAGGTAATCTATATAAAGATAATTAACAGTATAAGCCTTAGGGTTCCGATTGGTACCATTCAGTATGGTATTTCATAAAACCGATACCGAAAATATTTTTTGGTATCGGTACCAGTAATTATCGAAAATTTTCAGTATGAAACTTTGCAATACTAATACCGAACCGAAAGTACCGAAATTATCAAATTAAACAAGTTTATATTTTTAACATAGCATATATTTATCATGTACAAAAATAATATAACTCAAACATATATATAAAGTTTCCA